ACAATATTTAGTTATTTCGCCAATAAAGTAAGAATTTAAAAAAGTATCCAGACTTTGATTATTCATTGTTTTTGAGTACAAAGCATAAATAAAAATTATTTATTTAAAACCATTCACCTTTCGATTAAAATAATATTAATGTAAGGTTCAGTTGTTCCGTTACTCTTTTCAAGATAAACTTAAAATCATATAATTGAATGGCAAAAAACGTGTATATTTCAGCTGCTACAGAATAAAAATTATAAAAAATGTATAAAAAATTGATATAGATTTTTTTAAATAATAAAAAACTTTTTTTTTATTCTAAAAAATCGAAATAACAGTGCGTCTGGGAAGTGTGGTGGGGACTAGGGGTGTGTCGGAGACTACTGATTCTACCAAACACAATAATCTAGAACCTCAGTTGTATGAGACTAATATAAATGAATAATTAATGCTAAAAAAAAATTAATGATGGTGCCTAAATTGGGTAAATCCTACAAAAGCTGTGTTTATTTACTTAGACTTTTTTTTTTTTTTATCCTCAAACAATAACGAAATCATAGTTTATGTCCATAATTTTTTTTTATTTTTGCTACCATTCATACAAATTCCTTTAAAATAACAATGGAGCAGTCCAGCCTAACCGTATCAGGCGCGAAGTCAGCATTTCTTCGGGACAGGATGCAGTAAAACGTTTGGGTCTTGTTCATAGCGGAACGTAAAAGAGTTGTCGGTTTTATTCCGGCCGATGTCGTAAAAATGGCGCGATAAGCGTTTACAAGCTTAGGGAATTCAATAAAATTCAATACAATGGCGACGACTGCTGAAATAAAATTCGAGAAGTAAGACAGGCTCGCCTCCCGAACAATTCGATTTGCAGTAACTTTCTTAGCAGCTGGCAAGTAGATAACATTAAATAAGTTGAATGTTTATAAATAGTAATAAATAAATAGTAACTAATAGTTTGCCGCATCAACTTTGAAACCTTGTGTATACAATTCCAAACCTGCTTACGTACAAGACATAGTACACAATATATACATTAAAGAGCCCATGTTCCGGATTATACAAGCTTGTTATGAGGCGTGGGATATACCAGGCGGAAGTTTCGCAAAATAGTTACGGCATTTTTAAAAACATATTTCACACAAAATATGAAAAACAACAACTTTTACTTACCATTCCATGCAAAATGGTCAGTGTGTGAGTGAGTGAACAACAGCTTAACTCAAAAACTAAAAGTCGTTCGAAACTTAAATTGCGCATTTAAGGTTTGTATATGCCTGGGATATTACAGCTACTTTTTCGTCATAATCGGATGAAGGGATGTGGTACTTAATGTAATAACTTTTGCACATTTTTACTATTTCTCGAAAACGATTTTGATTAAACTCTTATCCATCCAGTCCTCATAAAATTGTAAATAGCTACAACTGTAAATATGTATATAAATTATTAGATCGTTTTTCAATATTTTTACTTCATGTTTATTTACATTTTTTTATTTTTTATTATTAAATGATTTAAATTAGTAAGTAACTTATAATTTCTTTTATATATTTTTATTTTGGTTATTTAATCAAACTATATTCTTGTTTATGTTTCCTTAGCCCACATTTTTGTCTCTGTGTATTATTCTAAAGGGGCTCGTCCAAGAATAAATAAAGCATTATTATTATAAATAGATATAATGAGATCCTATCTGTATGTGACAGACCTCGATTGGGCAGCCCCCGCACTGTGAGAACGACAAATGCAGTGAGAGCAGAGGCTGCTCGAATCAGAAGAAATCCCATTCGAAAACAATAAATCATTTTTCGGGAAATGGGAATTTCTGTCAGATCAATGAGTGCATTTCGAAGAATGACATGCCAAAGGCTAACCACTTCCCTAAAATAGATTAGAGTGAATAGATGCAAAGTGCTCCTTGGCCGTTACAACAATGGTCTTCATCGAAAGATTTTGTTTAGCGATGAGAAAATGTTTACAATTGAAGAAGCATTTAATCGCCAAAATGAACGTGTGTACGCACACAGTTCTAAAGAAACCCAGGAAGTCATTGATTGTGAGGAAAGATACCATCACTCTTCCCTGTAATGGTTTGCTTTGATGGCACCACAAAGCTCCATTTTTGTGAAAAAGAAGTTAAAACAGCCGCTAAAAATTAACAGGACGATATTTTGGAACCTGTTGTCAAGCCTCTTAATGATACTCCGGCATGCCACAGAGCACACTCTAAATTTGAAAGCCTCAAACAATCTTTGGTCCGAGGAGCAGTTGAGCTGCTGAGTTGAGTATTTTTTATAAATCTTGCTATTGATGCCAGGACACGGAGAATAAATGCTTGTGTCAAAGCAAAAGGGCGACATTTTGAGTAATTTATTTTTTGTTTTACCTATAGATATACAGTTTATTTTCTAATAAAGTTTTTTGAAAAATTTAATTTTTCTGTCGAAACCTGTACATTTTTTCTTGTATTTATTTATTATGACAGGATTAGGTATCTAACAGGAACAATATATCATGCAGTTACCCCGGTTGCCATGGTAATGGCTCTTGCAGTTTGGATCAGGGGGGCACAGATTTGAGGATCCTGGTCTTGAAATGTAGCTCTGTTAAATACCAAAGTAATTGAAGAATGTTTAGTGTTCTGGGGAAGGTTTTATAATATTATTATTATTATATTTTTATTAATTTATTAATTAACACCTTATATTTAACTTATAAGATCTACTAGTTATGGACATCTTACAAATACAGGTACTGGACAAGTACCCCATCCTTAACCTCAACGGACTCATTCTTCAATCAACATGATTTAAATTTCGATTCTTAAAACATTCGGTAAGCATTCGTACCAAAATTAAAACCTCAATGTTGGTAAATCGTTTTTTTTTCCAAACATGGTTGAAAATCCCTTATTATGCGAACCCTGGCCGAATAATACGAGGATAAAGCCGGGCACAAAGCGGTGACCTTCCCCGACCATATCCCGATAATCCTCAAGAGGCGTTTGAAATGAAAATGGCTCCGTGCCCTACTTTTGCTCACAGCAGTTAGTCCACTGCTTATTGCGTAGTCTCTTCAATTTTTTTTTATCATGCTTTTAGTCCCTATATTGTAAATGGAATTGTAAATTTATTAAAACAATTATATATGAATATTTTCATACTGAGGAGTACGGAAATTGAGATAAATACTTCGTCGTTAGGATCCTATAAAACATATGTTTATGATGAGATAGCCCATAACATAATTTCGGAGGTTATTATTTTTCTTCCTCAAGATAATACGAATCAAGAAACAGACAGTAGCGGATCCAAGATTTAATTTTTGGGAGGTTCAGCCGAGAGATTTTTTTACGATATTAACTTCGGAAGGAAAAAAAACTAATTACTTATATGTAATGATGTCTATGTGATTATTGAAAACCAATTAAACAAAAATAATTACACGAAGAAATACATTTAGAGATAATTTAATTTTTTTTTTTTTCAAAAATCATTGTTTTATTTAGTAGCTGTATACGTATTGTCATTTAAATACTGGTATGAAAAATTCTTTTCCAACTAAATTATTAGTTACAGATACAATTAGACATATAAAAACATTGAAGAGTGTTGGATGTAACATACAACATTTGTGGTTACCGGGTCACTCAGGTATTAGAGGTAATGACGTAGCCGATATCATGGCAAAACAAGCAATCAAGGAAGGAATTCCTGGAGGGGATGCTTTTCCAAAGGAAGTAGTAGCTTTGGTAAAGAGAAAGGTTCTGGAGAAATGGCAGGGTCTCTGGCATGTTTTAAGAGACAATAAGTTGAGAGTGATCGAGCTCTCTGTAGTTCCAAGTCGAGCGGATCTCCAGTTGAACAGAAGAGATGAAATAATACTGACAAGGCTCCGAATAGGACACTCATGGCTAACTCATGAGCACCTGCTGACAAAGGGGACACCTCAGTGTCTGCTGTGGGGTCAATTCAACAGTCAGGCACATTTTGATTGAATGTTATGCATATGAAGCACAACGGAATGAAGTGAAATTTGAGGATAATATAACAGAAATTTTAAAAAAACATCACCAAAATGGCCAAAAAAAAAACTGTTTTTATTTCAAATAACGCAGCTATATAGCAAAATTTAATTTATACTTACACTTTGTTTTGGAAATTTTAATGTTTTAAATATTTCGTATTTTCAAATTAATTGTTAGATTTCATCTTATATAACATGATTACTGTACAAGAGCTAAAATGAACTATAAGAGGTTAAGGAGCCCCCCATTGTTATAAGTAAATAAAATATTGTGATTGTTTTAATATTCTACAATTCTAAAATTCTACATAAAAGACGCACTAACAAAAACTAAAATCATTTCAATTCAAAATTTTAAGACTAATAACATCAGCTCTCTGGTACGTAAACAACAAAACTTTACATACTGATTTACAACAACCAACTATCGACCAACACATATGTACTCTCTACTCCCGTATTAATCTCAACTACACGGACTTATTAACGACATTGCCACAGTTGACATGCCCTTCAGGAGACGACTAAAGAGGAACTGGATGAGAGATCTCCTTTCCTAAATTATGAAGTAGACCAACACCAGAAAGAGGTGCTGCTGGGTACTAAACTCCCTCATGCCTTAAATGCTAACTTTTTTTACAATGAGATCACATTTGCTTATTGTCAATACTATGACAGGTGTGGATAGAAGTATGAAGAGAGAAAAAAAATATTCAGCTAAGATCATTCACAATAAAAACCAGTTGTATTAGTCTGTATAATTCTAAAGGGACTTGTCCCAGAATAAATAAAGAATATTATTATTATTAAAATTAAACCGAACTTTAGGATTTTAGTAACAGATTTCTTTCATTATAGATACAGTTAATGATAACTATGACAATATCCAAGCTTTGGGGTTGGGGAAACATACAAATACAACGAGATATGAGAAAAATAATTGTATAAATTTAGTATATAATCGAAAAATGGTGGGAAGGTACCTTGGATATGAGTTCGTCGTGGTTGGCTAGGTGAGCTCGGCAGTGGATGCACGAGTAGGTCCTGTGGCACTGCGGCAAGTACGCCTGGAACGTCTTCACCATCCTGCCCCATCCAACCTACAGTTGCCCTGCAACAAACCAACAAACAGTCAACAAACCAATTATCATCATCTATTTATTTCTATTTCTATTTACCTATCATTACTATTTCTTCTTTACCGCTTAAACAGTGTGGGCAGTTTATGTTTAGATAATACTTTATGATTAAAAAAAAAACCAAAACAAAAAAAATCATAACTGGTAGTTTACTTAACCCTTGAAGTTTTCTTCTAACTTGGAATCCTCATACCAGACTCAAACGACAAGAAACCGCTCGACGTTTCCGACTACTTCAACACTTACTAGACAAACGCTCTAACCTTCCAATTAATTACAAAAGACTCATTTACATGACTATAATAAGACCTATTTGGACTTACGGAGTTGAGCTATGGGGCTCCACCAAACCTTTAAATTCCTCTCGTATCCAATACTTACAATCCGAAATCCTTCGTAAAATCCTCAATGCTCCTTACTTTGTTACAAATAAAATCATCCACAATGACCTTAATGTTTCTTATGTATCAGATTTGGCCCAATCCAGATATCTATCCTTCCATAATAAATTTCATAACCATCCCAACCCTCTTGCTGCTAATCTTGCTTCCTATTCAATTCCTGATAATCCTCCGAGGCGTCTGAAAAGAAGATGGCCACGTGATCTCCTACAATAAACATATTATTAGAGTGCTACCAATGGGTAGTTTCTCAACATGTGTTTCATGTCATCATATCCATGTGCGAATTTACTAGATGTGTTTTTTTTATACAGTTGTAAATATCATATAAATAAAAAAAAAAAAATATATTAACCTTGAAATTTGATATGCACAAGTTGTTTTTTATATTATTTATGAAATTTACAACTGTACATTTAAAATACATTCAGCAAATGTGATATTGATAAAAACATGACACGACAAGGCTTGTAGAGAATCTACCCATTGGTAGCACTCTAATAAAGTTACTAGATTAGGAGATCTCGAGGCCATCTTCTTTTCAGACCCCTAGGAGGGTTATCAGGGATCGAGGAGGAAGCAAGGTTAGAAACGAGAGGATTAGGATGGTTCTGAAGTTTATTATGGAAGGATAGGTATCTGTATTGGGCCATATCGGAAACATATGGAACATTCAGATCATTATGGATTATTTTATTTATTTCAAAGTATTTGTTTCGGAGTATTAAGGATTTTGGATTGTAAAGATTGGATACGAGAGGAATTCGATGGTTTAGTAGAACTCCAAAGCTCAACTCTGTAAGTCCAAATAGGTCTTATTATGGTCATGTATATGAGTCTTTTGTAATTAATTGAAAGGTTAGGGCGTTTGTCTAGTAAGTGCTGAAGTAGAACGTCGAGCAGTTTCTTGTCGTTTCAGTTGGTATGAGGATTTCAAGATAGACGTTTGTCCAGGTGGAGTCCTAGGTATACGCACAAGTTAACCAAAAAATATTAAAAATGTAAAAAGTAGAAGAATGATTAAAATCTTTTACCAAAATCTTAATTATGTGCTTAAGAACAATTTAATTTTTAAAGCGCGCATTTTTATTTTATTTTATCTTAGTATTATTTATTATCATTATCATTGTTAGCTATTATTTTTATCATTTTTCATGTTTTTAATTTTTATTATTCATTTATTTTTCATGATGTAGAGATGGTTGACCGTGATATAAAAATATAAAATGATAAGGATTTAGTCGGAGGGTGCGTTTAAATAAAAACGAAATTTTAGAAATAGTATTGATTCGTTACGCCGACGTTTCGACCCACTTTGTAGTTCTTCATCGAGCGTGGTATCGGGCACTGCAAGAAGCAGTGGAGTGACAGCACCCCCCGACCAACTTCTCATCCATTTTTTATTATTTATTTTCTATTTTTTGTGTATGTATGAACACTTGTAGATCTAATACTTGTTGCCCTTCGATGTGGAAGATTGTATTATCATTCAATAAACTTGTATATATATAACCAATAATTCTCAATTATTTATAACTATATGAGTTTGGCTGATCATAGTCAGCTATCAACATCTCCCACTTCCCAAAGTATTTGCATTTTGATAATAAAATTTTCTACAGCATTTTATGTATGTATTTATTCAATATTTCTCAACTTACTGACTATCAAGAGCAAGTCTAAACTTAAAACCGGATTGACAATTAAATAGTGACTATAATGAACACTACAAGGTAAAAGCATTAAGACAATTCATATGACTTTTCAGTCCTTTCTGTTTCAAAGGAGATAGACAAGGCATCTATTAAACTAACTCAACATAATTGGAGAAAATCTGGTTGATATATGGCATTGTAGTGTCAACTTGGCACATCTATATTCATTACTGTACGGTTAGTTTGAATTACACAGCAGGTATAGGTCGAGAAAATTAAAGGAATTTAAAAAAAATCTTATTTGAATATAATTACATTCCAATTTACTTAATTGTTAATAGTTTCAACTCCATTTAATGACAGAAATCATTCATAGAGGTAAAGATTAATAAAATAGAAAATAGTGTTGCCATATAAGAAATGTATACAAATATTAAAAAATGTTTACAAATATAAATAAATTTACGTCTTTTTCTCATGAGTCAACAGAAAATGTTAATAATAACCTATAATACAAATATAATGTTGAACATATTCCTCTTATAAAAAAAAACCCAGCAAAAACGGATACGTTAATATTAATTACTGTTATTAAACTTATGCACTCATTATTTTTTACGGGAAAGTATAGCAACCGTGAAAAATTTCAAAACCGCCTTTTCAAAAGAAATATATGTTGCAAGGTCCTCTGAGTCAAAATAACAAGGTCTTGTAAAAAGGTCAGTGTGCAAGTGAACAGTTTTGCTCAAAAACGAAAAGCCATCCGAAGCTGAAATTACGTATTTGGTATTGTTAACTTTTGGAAAGATTAATTTCTACTGACAGTAGTGTTGTAAGGAAAAATTGTGTGATGCATTCAACCAGATTTTTTTAGTTTTTCTAGATTCGTTGAATTAAAGAAAAATCGTGGTCGAATCAAATAAAACTTACAATTATCGAAATGCTACATACATTGTCCTAAATATATATAGGAGAAGAACATGCTTTATTTTAGATACCAAAATATTTCATGATGGCAATTTGTATTTTTCTTGTAACTAATAACTACTCAAATGTATAACTAAAAACAAAAATGGAAAATCTCGTTATATTTATTTTTTCGGCCAACTGAAATTGTAGACTGAATTTTATCTAGGATTGATCACCTATTACTCACTGTATTTGTACTCGTGATTTATTTTTTTACGGAAAACAAAATATAGGCCTCTAGGTTTTTTATAACATTAAATATACAATTTAAACGGTATAACTTGAGTCTTGCATGGAGCTATGCGGCATTTAGACAGAATGGACAAAGAAAATAGAGAAACGCACTCAGATTAAAATTCACAAATTAAATTTATAATTATTTATGATTATATATATTTACGAAATTTCTTTAATCGAACTTTTAGTATTATATTTTAAAATAATTATTTAATTAGGAATAAGGTGACTTAATAATTATTCAAGAAACTACTAAAAATCTTCATTGCTTCTATGTTTATTCGACGTTTCGATCCCGGTTTTTCATAATCGATCGAAATGTCGAATAAAGACAGAAACAATGAACATTTAGTAGTTTATTGAATAATTATTAAGTGAACTTATTTCCAATTAAATAATTATTTTATAATTATATATACATATTATATAATTGTATACAATATATATACACACATATGTATACACAAACACACACACACACACACATATATAAGATTTGCTTTACTACTCTACACTATATCACAAACGAAGACATTAAAAGATAAACCACGTTTAAAACTGATATTGTTATAAGTTTACTGCCTACTTCAGATCACAGCGATTATATTCTCTATTATATATTGTGGAGTTCTAAAAATGCCCAGATTCTCCACCCACGTCGTGAGTGTATAGTCTAAAGCGCTCTCGCTTAATCTCCACTGAATTTATTACCAGTGACGCGGTTGAGAGAGTAGCGCAGGGATCTCTTAGAGTCCTGCTTTTCCCTCTATAGTTAGAGGAACAAGCCTGGCTTCGGCCCCCCTACCAGTTTGTATATATTGTATATAGAAATGACTGAGTTTTTATGGTTTTAATTGACTTATCTTTAGGTTATTTTATTTTTTTTATTGTACATAGTTGTTTAATTATTATTTTACTTTAGTTAATTTTAGGTTTTCTGTATATATGGTGTGAATGTGTTCATATCTCACTATAATTATTGTCCACGTGACGGATTATTATATTTCTAAATAAATAAAAAAACTAATCACATTAACTTTAATAATTAAATGAAAATTGATAAAATCTATACCAGACCATTACTACATTATTCTTCGAATTTCTTCCAACTTTGCACCAAATTGAATGAACTTATTTTGAAATATAGCTTTAACGATATAAATAGTTTCGGATTTTTCAGCGGACACCTCGCTGTTCTTTAATTTAGAGCTTATCTTGACATATAGGCTTATCACGTCGTCAAATCCATGATATTTTTATTGGTTACATTAGTGAAGTTTTTAGTGACTTTCATATTTTATTTTATTTTGGTATTAGGAGAGTAGGAGATTACAGGAGCTCTCATATTAGCTGTATAATTAGCACCACGGGCGGATCTACCCAAAATGGTAAAATATAACCATGATTAATTGAAAAATATATTAAAAATTATCTCTTAAAGTATTATTGTTCGTGTAATTACATTTAAAAGGACTTAAGGAGTCACTTAAACACCATTTCATATAGATAGTTAGTTTCTTTATTTTTTCCAAAATAATTATCGTCATTTTTGTGAAAAAAAAAGCTTTCGGGCTGAAGTCCCTCCCAAAATTAAATCCTGAATCCGCTAGTGATTATCACTAATTATACAGCTGTTCATTTAATTATGTGGAAAGTGTTGAGGTCCAGTAATCTTTTATTCTGC